CAAGTCATCTAGTCCTCAAAGTATTTAGGAATACCAGCAATTTTACCAAAAACCAGGATAATGCATACATATTTACACACACACACTTACAGAATGGAGATCCAATTATAAAAGGTTTTTATTGCTACCTGTTTTCACTGTATTTTTTGGCAAGAAATACAAAGTGAGGAGCTGACCTTGCTGGTTCACTGAGGCTTTGTTTTTCATCAAAGTATAGTGCTTGCTGATCTCCTGCCCTAGTTTGCCCTTTTTTGCCCCATCAGTGCATCCACACTTACTCTGACTGGTAAAGCACAGAAACGTCTCGGTAACTAAGCAATTATTCCAGTTTTCTTCCCTTCTGAATACTGCTCTTGCACAGAGCCTTGCCTGGAGAACTCTGTCTAATTTCTTAAACTTACACTATTTTTAAGGGAGCCACAAAAATGCAAGTGACTTTTCCAAGATGTAAAGCATTATTTAGTTGACGAACAATATCCTCAAAGATCTGCTGACATAATAAGTGATGCTGATGTACAGACTGCTGTAATTATGGCAATAACATCTCTGGGAATCCAAATGTATAGCTTAAATTGTACTCTGCCACCAGTAAATGGTAAAGGGACAAAAATAGTAGCTCTTATTCCCGTAAGGATCTAAACAAAAATATGTGGGATGGCTTATAGAAAATGACAGAGTTTCAGTTAATTAACAAATACCATTCCCAAAGCTTTTCCAGATTTGTACTACCCCAAAAAAAAAAAAAAAAAAAAAGAGATACTTAAAAACTTATGTTAATTTCACATAGGAAATTTAAAAAAAAAATCAGTGTTCGCTGAGTGGAAAAGATGAATCAAGATTAATGGAGAAATGCTATTTTTAAAACCCCTCAAAATGTTACAGAGTTAAAAATATAAAGTAAAAATTATTTTTATAGCAGCTGGCAATGTCCATTTAAGGCTGACAATTTCTTGTGGATGACTAGTACTATGTATCTCATGCAGCACCCACTGTTTGGAGTTTATTGCAGTATAACAGCATAATCAGATGGCTTTAAAACTCAGACTCAGAATCCCTCTTTATTTTTGGCTTAAATCCAAGTTATAATTATAGTAAATGTACTATTTTTTAAAAGAATGCTGCTGCTTATATTCTTAACATAGTGATTTTGTTGTTTTCATATTGCAAAACTGAAACTAGACTAGGATAAACACAGAGGGAAAAAATTAAGGCTTAAACCGAGTTTAATATGTAACTCCAACTCACCATCACAAAGCCCAAGAGGCAGGATATGCAATCCTGCATTCCTTACGCACTCGTAATACCTCTTGGCTTCAGTGGAAGTTTTGTTTGAGAAAGCATATAATCAGAACCTATAATTTCATTAATTGCACGCCACAGGCAGTCCATATGAGGTAAGAATAATGAACCAAACTGGTGGGAAGGACGGTGGAACCCTCAGCCCCGCCTGCATCTTTGTGGACCACTGAGTCCACGCAGCAAAACCATGAATCCTCGTTTTCCCCACTCACCCACAGTTCCAGCTCTTCCCCGTGACAGACCGCGTCGGTCATGTAGAGGAGACGGATCACCGTGCAGATGCTTCACTCGGGACGCAACGTAGCTCTCGGGTCTCTGTCACTACTCTGCATTACCATCTATCCCCAGGCTCTCGGCAGTACCGAGGGTTTCACCCGATGCAGATCCTCACTCTTTGGGGATTTTTATATTATTCATACTAGGCACAGGCAAAATGAACATTATGTAGCTATTAGTACAGATTGCTTTGACATAACATATTACATATTTCATTAGATATCCTTTGGGCAATTTAGGAAGTATCATCTGAAAACCATGTGGATGGACTTGACTTCTACAGTATTACTGTACACATAGCTTTTCGATGCATACCGTAAACATACTGGGCATGTGCTACAGATAGTTTTACAGTATTCCACAAGGTTTGTTTATATGTGTAGGAAAAAATAGCATGAAACAAGAACATCCCATATTATAAAGGCCTTTTATTTGCTAAAACATGAGCCAAGAAAAAAACATAGGCACTTGCCAGCTACTTCTTCTTTTTCTAAACATAAAAACAACTAATCCCACTTTAAAAGAAACCGTTTTCAGGCTGAGAACTGGTAAGCTGTGTTACAGCGAGGGGTGAATCTACAGCGTAGTCTCAGCTGCAGACTGACATTTAGAAGGGCATAGCAGATAGCTCTTCAGCTACAAAAAAACCGTTACCTTCCTGCATAAGAAATGGAAAACTCCGGTTCATTTCTACCTGTATAACTGACGACAAGCCAATTTTTAGAACTCCTAACTAATGACTAACTTACAGTTTCTTTCACAGCATCCTTACAACAACAGATCTTATTTTTGTTTGTCTGGTTTTGCTTTGTTTTGGAAGTGTAAACCATCGCCCTCCAAATGATTTTAAGGTCTTTCAGCAAGGGAAACCTGACTAAGAACAAGACCTGTCACCCACAGTTCCACATTAAAGAAAATAGAGAAACCTGCTTTTCAGTATTTAAAAAAAATCTTTAGCAGTCTTTAGTCTCCAGAATTGTGCTGGGTTATCTTATGAATACATAAAGTAGAAATAGAATCTCCAGATTAAAAAAAAAAGAAAAAAAAAGTTCATTCTTAACTATCCTAAAGGCTCAAAGTTTGTAACGAGTAGATACACACGAAAGAACAAAATAAAAGGAAATAAATGGAAGGTATAAAGATGAGAGTGACTGAGGGATAAGGAAGATGAAAAGAAAGGGAAGGAAAAAAGAACATAACGCTAAAAAAAGGGAGAAAGAAAAGCAAGATAATAAAAACAAAACAAGTCGTTGAAACTATGGTGGGAGGAACTGATGAATATTAACTTTTATTATTCTGATTACAAAATACGTTTCAAACTTGGATGAAACACGTTGTATGTATGTTTTGCCAAGGACATTCTTGGCAATTACAAAGTCAGGAAAATTATAATTCAATCAGCAAGGCATTACTTAAAACCACTTGAAAAAGCAGACCATTTGAACCATCAAACAGGCTGCATGGGGAAAGATTTTAAAGACTCAGTATTCTGGAGCAGCGCAGACTGCACTCGCCTGTTGCACAGTGAACCTTCCAATAATGGGGCCATTAGATAAATAGCAATTTCTGTTCCTGGATGTATTTTACCAATTTTTCTTCTTGTAAACGAGCAACGAAGCCCCATCATCTTTTTCCACATAAAATGAGGGCAGTTCTAGTAAAAAAAAAAAAAAAATTAAAGCACTTGTAGGATGCTTTTGGCACACCGAATCTGCGTGTGCTGGCCTTGAAAAGGACACTGCCACCAGTGCCTCCCAACAGCTACGCTCCCAAAAACGTTAGGGCTACGTCACGTTCGTTGCCACACTCGCAAAACCCACAATAAAACAGGTCACCTTGACCTCTCTGGCGCAAACGGTGATTTCGCAGAACTCCTAACCCCCGAAGAATGGGACTGACTGAAAAATGCGTTTCGCTGTTCCTAACCAAAAAGGTGGATGACCTGTTTCCCCCCACACACGCTAGCCCCGGTATCTCGGAATCGGCAGCGCCCGCCCGGCCCCTCACAGAGGCGGGAAAACACCTCAGCCGCCTCACCGACCACGGACCGGTCAGGGCCACACACCCCGC